GATCAAAAACAGAGTGGGGAGGGAAATGCACTGGACTTTGGTGATGGCACATGGGTGATTTGTAATCCTTAAGGGGATTACAACTGAAATGGGAAAATGCACAAAATGATGTAAAAATAAACTATTATATTATTTAAACAAACAAAGTGCCCATGAACCACAAGGAGGAGACTGGTGGGCTAGAAACTCTTCTCCAGCAGCCTTGCCGGTCCCTCTAGTGCCCCCTATTGGCATAGCCTAAGGCTGGTGTCAGTGGGGGAAAAAGAAAAATCTGCATCATCCCAGCCACAGCGCTGGCATTGCAGAGCACACAGGATGGGTTTGCAGCTACAAGATAGCAGCTTAATGACAGCATAGCCACTATAAAGACTGAGCTACAGAATACTAAAGCTCTAATTTTCAAATTTTCCCTGTGCTTGGAATTCAGTGATGAAGCAAACTATCAAGGAAGCTGTGGAGAAACTGTAATCTTATGATATGTTGGCAAAAATGTACTCAGCTCACCTGAAAATGGTGACGGCTGCATCTCCCACACATCTTAGCAACTTCCATCTCCATAGGTAGGAGGCTCAGAACCGTGGTGTATCAGAGATGCATAAACGATAGGCAGTTCCAGGTTACCACTGAAAAATCAAAGGATGGGGACTGTGGCAAAGGGAACATTTTCCTGGCATTTAATGTGCTGTGTGTGCATGGTGGGAAAAGATTGCATTCTCTTGTACCTCATTAATTTTGAAGTCACTGCCAGGTGCATAGTCCCACATGCTCCTTTGCGTTTCTGTGAGAAGGAGGTAAACTAGAAAGGAGCCCAGTCCTCGAACTCTTCTGAGTCCACAAATGCTCCTTCCTAGGGTATTAACAAACCACACTCCTGGGGCCACTTGTCATCCCTCAAAACAGAATGCTGAGTAAGGTCAAACTGCAGAATTTTGGGAGTGATTTCTCTTTGAAGGTACAGGGTGTGTGGATGTACATTTGCTAATCCAGAACATGCCTGTTCAAAGACAGTGGATAATCAAGCTGAACCTGACAGCCCAGGAAAGGAAATTGGTAAATCATATGGAAATGTGAGATGTGCACTCACAGTCAATGCCTGAGGACGAGCACTTGCCAAAGCACCTCAAGATGGAAATCATGGCCCCTCTATGGAGAAAGAACCCTGCCCTTTGCTTCCAGGCCTCCTTTCCCGGCCTCACCACTGCATGGGCCTGGGCCCTGCACCAGGCTCAGACTCACTGGCAGTCACATGAGGGGAAAGACCATGACTATGGGTCAGTACCATGCCAGGCCCTTTCCTGTCAACTGATGATTGAGAGGACGTTTAGGTTGAATGGGAAATAGAACAAAATACAGAATAAGTGTACAAGCATGACCTTAGGGTAAATGCATTATGCACCTTCCAGAAAGTCCACCCAGCTCTAAATATCTGATTGCAGTTCTGAACTCTGTTGTTTTTTTCACATTTAATTTTGTCCACTTGCTTCTGTGCAAGGTGGATGTTTTTCAAGTTCAAAGTGAAAACTAGGCCTTTTATCTTTCTTATAAGGTTTTTCTAATCTTCACCTGGCATTCATGAGCCTCTGGCACTTCTGTCCCCTGCCTCCCTTATTCTTCCATCATGACTCAACCTGTGACTCAACTCCACTAAGTAAATGTCAATGCTTTATGGACACTTTAATTGGCTTTGGGGTGGGGGAGTAATTATAATGTGGCAATAGTCCTCTAAGATGTCAGATCCCTCGAGGATATCCTTTCTCCTCTAAGGCTACAGGCCAAACACCTGGAGCTTAAAAGTCTCAGGTGATGAAGCAGGAAGCCCCCCAGTCATATGCAAGCCTTTTGTGTACATTCAGGGATGCTTTTGTGAAAGAGAACAATAGCACTCCACAGATTTTCAGGGAATCTCTTGACCCCATGAAGATTGCAAATAAAGAACTTGTGGAAAATGTTGCATGAATGAATGGAAGAAAATTAATAAATGAATAAAATGGCTCGAAGTATCCCCTTGGTTCCACCCCCCTACCCCACCTCATTCACCCTGCACTTCTCTGACACCACCCCCCCCCACACACACACACACACGCCTGCTCCTTTAATCATTAGTAATTGATCATGATTTTCTGAGTTATCTCTTGGAGTCTGACCAGTTCCTTTTGAACAGCACCGAAATCTGCTGCTGTTCTGCAGACCACAGGCTCACTGGCAGGATTATTCAGTGGAAAAATGAACTTCATCTAACACAATCCTCTTGCTCTTATGTGTAAAAACTGTAGGTGGAAGTATGTTGTCAGCAAAGGATAGTGACTCCTACATAAAGTTGGAATGAGAGGGAACAAAAGAGAGGAGTCTTAGAAAAAAGAGGGTAAAGGAAAGAAGAGGAAAAGGGGGTTCTGGTCTGTCCCAAACCTCTCCTCCCATGCCGTGGCTGAGATTCCTGGTAGCTGCCTCTCCCCAAAGACCAGCCCCCGTGCCTGACATTTACACACACACATACACATACACACACCACCCTCACCCATCACCTTCTGAGGCCTGTCACCTCTTTTTCTTCTAAAGATTTTTTTTAATTTATGCATTCAAGGACTGTGGTGCCAGCCAGAAGTGTGGGGGTGAGAAAACGCACCAGAGACAGAGTAGGAAGCAGAACAGGCAGATCGATTGAAATACACTGCTGAGGGGAGCAGCAGGCAAGACAGGAGAGGTCTGCTGCGCCATGTGGATCACCTCCTTGGCCGTGGATTGAACCCACCAACTATGTTAAGCCCTATACTATGTTTTGAGGACAAAAGTTTAGTAAGCTCAGAGTCTGAAAAGATCACACACACATAGTCTCAGGCACACACACACACACACACACACATTATGGTACAAACCTTCGAGTGCTATCACCACAGAGAACCAACAATGCACAGCTCCAGGGGGTCTCACTCCTTCCTCCACTTATCACATGATAAGTCCATTTATCATATGAACATGGCTCCTGAGAGTTGTACAACCCGGAGTCCCTGGACATCACACAGGTGGGTGAAGGAGGTGTTAATGGTGGGCATCACCATCCAATTTGATGAGGGCGGCTGCCCCAAAGTTGGAGCCCCCCACCCTGTCCATCATAAATCTGGACAGTGCCCTGCCTGTTCCCTTCTATTGTGCCCTACTCTACCCTTGGAAGATGACCTTTAGGCATATTTAAACTTATTAGACATACAGGCAAAGAATATAAACAAGAACCCACAGTTTACAAAGAGATCACCAGTGCCATAGTTCCTCAACGCACAGTAAAATCAATGCAAATTAAAATAAGAGCAGCAAGGGGATCGGGCTTGAGAGTCTGTTAATGTCTTCAGATGAGGATGTTGGGTGGTGCACACCTCACGCATTGCTGGTGGTGACATGACTCTTTACAGTCTTTTGAGAATTAATCTGGCAGTACCCCAGATGCACAAGTAGAAATGCACATCACCTGTGTGTGATCCAGGAGTCCTACAGGAATGTGACATGACTTTTAGGAAATATGTACACTTGGCCATTCAGGTGACCAAACTCTACTTCTCATCTATATATGTGGTCTTCATCCACAATTTCTGGCTTCCCACTCCTAAAAACCTAGAATTTCCTAAGTATGGAGAATGCTAAAGTTGTCTCTTGTTAATGAAGTGATTTGGGGGGAAACACCTGAGAATGGGGGCTGGTTGCCAGGGAAACCAACCAGATTGAAAATCCCACCTTATTTCTTCCTAAAATTTAACTAAGGGGGGAGAGGGACTGGAGGTTGAGCTCATTCGCCATGGCCAATGATTTAATCAACTGTGCCAAAGTAATAAAGCCTTCATAAATGCCTAATAGGGAGCAGCTTCAGAGAACTTCTGGGTTGGTGAACATGTAGGGGAAACTTGGGGAGAATGGTGCACCTGAAGAGGGCAGGGGAGCACTATGCCTGTTGTCCATAACCTGCTCTATGTATCTCTTCCATCTGCCTGCTTGGGAATGATGTCCTTTGTAATAAATGGATGACTTAGTGAGTGAAAGAGTTCTGTGAGCTGCTCTAGAAACTCATTGAGCCTGAGGAGGGTTTCTGGGAGCCTCTGATTTATAACCAGTCAGTCAGAAACACAGATATCAATAGTAACCTAGGCGAGCAAGTGTCACTTGAAGTCTAAGGAGGGGATTGCAGAGCCTCCAGTCTGTAGCTGCTTGATCAGAAGCCCAGGTAACAATCTATGCTTGCAGCTGGTATCTAAAGTGGAGGGTAGTCTTGGGAACCTGAACCCTTAACCTGTGGAAACTAATGTCATTTCAGAGATAGTATCAGAATTGAGTTGACTTCTTGGACACCCTGCTGATAGCTGAGGGGTGCTTGGTGTGGGCAAGTTTCCACATAATCTTGTGGAAATCAAAGACACAAGGTATAAGGATTAAACTATTCTAAAGGGGAAAAGACTGCAAAAATCCTCATACCCACCATATGGAAAATTCTGACTAAATCATGGTGTATAGAACAAAGGAATATCACCAATATTGAAAACACCAAATGTTGGTGAGGATGTGGAACAACACAAACCCCCATTGATTGCTGGTGGGAATAGAAAATGGTAGTCTTTTTGGAAGTTTGGAAGTTTCTTCTAAAACTAAATACATGTTTACCATATGAAAGTAAGTTACATTTGCATATATTTGCCTAGAAATATACCATGGTGTGCTTTTTAGAAGGAGGGGTAAAAGGAAATTACGGAGCAACGCATAGAGAAGTTCATTCTTGAACAAAAATTAAAAAGGGAAAAAACATATTCTGCTGTAGTCAGGACAGCCAATTCAGTTCTGAGCCATTAACGAAGAGTCTAAATGAATTTGCAGCAGGGGGAGGCAGAGGAGAGTGCCTTGGGGAGAGCTCTGCCTTTCACTCTCCCAGCCCAAGCTTTTCTTAAAGATAAGAGCAAAGGAACAAGAAAACAGTGCACAACTGTATTTATGCTGATGCAAATTAATAAGTTACTGCTGAAAGCTAGTTTTCCTGGTTAGTAGGGGATGGACGCATAAGACAATACATCCTCAGAGAACAGGAGTCAATTCTGGGAATTTCTGTTTGCAGAACATCTAACGTCCTGGAACTCATGCAGAGTGAAGAGGTATTCCCCCAAAACTCTAGCCCCCTTTAGGGCAGCAGGCTCCAGACAATATGCGTGTACAGAAAGAAAAATGTAGACATATTACAAATCAAACTGTTCAGATTACTTGTCTCAAAGTGAACAGTTAGAGGCAAAGAGAAGATGACTGCATTTTTCTTAATACAGCTCTGCTTTGTTATACTTGCTACAATGAGCATGAGTATTTTATTATTAAAAAGAAATCCAGTCAAGAGAATAAGATGACAATAAGTTAACAGAACGGGAGTAAATATTTTCCAAAAATCTATCTGATACTGTAGTGTTAAGAAGATCTCTTAAAACTCAACAATAAAAAAACAAACAACCCGATTTAAAAATGGGCAAAAGATCAGAACAGACACCACATCAAAAAAAAGATATACACGGCCCTCCGTGGTGGCGCAACAGGTTAAAGAGCAGCACTATGACCTTCTCCTCTGCCACTGCCGCTTGAGTTCGATCCCCTAGCAGGGAGCTGACCC